GAGAAGCCCTTGACCTTGTCCATGTTATTGTGCGCCATGGCGGCCAGATGGCCGCACGTCTTCGGGCTGAGGTCTTTGTCATCGTTCCTCAGGCGTTTCATAGTCTTCTTCACTGACTTGACGGCTGTTTCCACTGCTCCGTTTTGCCAATGGCCCTCTCCAGGGGTCACTGCCAGGCCAACTCCAATCCAGTGGCAAAACTCTGAAAAGACTCCCTTGGAGAGCGAAGACTGGGGGTCGCACAGCAGCCATTCAGGTCGGGGCCGGTGTTGTAGCCACGACTCACTGAAGACTGAAACCAACTTCTCGCCCGAGTCAGTGCCCGTCTCGTTCATCGGTCCCTCCCAGAGCAGCTCCACTGTCATGTACCTCATCACGAGGCACATGGTGATCAAGTACCTCGCCTTGCGCCGCTGCTCAGGGAAGACTAACTCGAACACGTCAATCCCGATCATCTGCCACGGCTGAGGCTTTGTCCCGACGGAGTGGGGAACAATCAGCTGCTCGCCGCGTTGAGTGTTCAGGCATGCCTGGCATTTCAAGTTGATGGCCAAGTCCACCACCCACTTTGGCATGCCTCGATCACGGCAAATCCTTGCCAAAGCTCGATTGCTCGGGTGGCCGGCGGCTTTGTGTAGGCGATGAAGAAGCGCCCTGGCCTGTTCCTTCATGTCCTCAGTCACCAGCTCGTTCTCCCGCACTTCTCCTTCATCCGCCGCCAGCAGCTCTTGTTCTTCGGCCAAATCCCGTTGGTTGGCGATCTCCTCCTCCAGCTCCACGGCGGCCATCATCACGGCCTGAGCATCGTTGTCTCGTACTCGCCGTGCTGTCTGAGATTGCCACAATCGTTGGATGCGGAGGACCATCTGCGGCGGGTAGAAGGACATGCCGGCCTCCGTGAGGCGCTGGTAGGCCTCCCGATCACCGTGTTCGTGATCTCCTCGGCACCTGGTGTTCATCACATCGTGAAACTCGTGGTCATTGTGCATGACCACCCAGGCCTTCTTGACCGGCTTGCCGTCGGCGTCCCGGACGCCCAGCTCGCATGCATTGATGTGCGTCTGGTACACTTGCCGGTCGCCCTGCTCCAGCCGTCGGCGTATCTGTTTCACGACCTCGAGGTTCCAGGTGCCCTTGGCCTCGTAGGGAATCTCCACGTAGATCCTCTGGCCCTTGTAGTTTCTCCTTGTCGCTGCCTCGACAAGGGAATCCATGTGTTCCAGCTGCTTGCGGACCTTCGTCCGCTTCTTCCGAAGATTGGCCTCGTAGTTCATGGTGTTGCGGTCGTTCTCCTCCTTCGGAAGGATGCATGCTGGAGACAGCCAGAGTCTCCATGGTGGATTGCTGAGGCACTCTCGCCTAAGTCTTTCGGCATCTACTTCTTTGTTGATGTCATAGCCGTGGTCCAATGTCTTACAGTGGACGGTCGCTCCACGAAGTCCACCTGCACTTCCAAAGGTATTCCCAGTCCTGCAAGCAACCTCCCACACATCCAGAGGCTGCAGTGCCGCCAAAATGGTCGACACGTTGAATTCGTCACAGGCCTTCTTTATCTGATTCCGGAGGTTGGCTTTCAGCTCGCTTGAGTTCTCCAGCCATTCCAGCTCTTCATCCTCCTCTTTCTTGACCTCGTCCTGAGAATCATCTGCTGGGCCGGCTTCATCGTCTCCGGAATCTCCAGGTGAACTCTCCTGCTTTGCCGGCTCGGTCGTCTCCGCCTTGTAGTTCTCGTTCACCTGGGAGGCCTTTTCCTCCAGGGCCCCCTTTGGGGCCTCCTGCTTCACTTCTTGGACTTGTCCACTGGCTGGTCCTCGGCCTCGTCCACCTTGATGTAGCCGTCCATGTCCTCCCGGGGACTCCTGGCCTTGCCATCCGCGCGTGCCTTCGCCTTTGCGGTCTGCGTCTTCCGGGTCGCCAGGAGCCGTTTCTCCTTCGCCACGATGTCGATCATGTTCTTGATCTGCTTGATCTCGACCTCGTCGGCTGGGATGCCCGACTGTCGCAGACGCTCGAGGGCCTCGGTCACGTTCATCGGCAGGTTCGTCCTGGTGGACTCGGCTGGGGCGTTCACGGCCGGAGTGTATCCCATCCTGTAGCCGCACTTGCCGCACTCCTCCCAGCGGCCGTAGCGGTTGGCTCCCCTTGAGGCGATGTGCCGGCCATAGCATGGCCATTGGTCTGGACCTCGGCGGGGATCTCGTTCGTCGCCACCCATCTTCCTCGTCTCGTCGTACACGGTGGCTTCGCCTTTCTTCTTGCGACCACCTTTGGTCGCGCCACGGCTGCCGTTCTCCTCGGCGAGGGCGTCGCGAATCGTCTCCCGCACGGTCTTCTCCACCTCTTCGCGCACGACGGTCCGGATCGCCTCTTTCATCTCGCTCGAGGAAGCGGCCATGCTCGCGGAGTCGGATGGGAGTCCGGGAATCTTGGGCTCGTTGCCTATCGTAATCCATCTCCTGAGAGCCAAGAAGCAGATGTTCAGCTTGCTGTTTGGACAGTCCAAAGAAGCTTGCGCAAGACTGGAAGTCACCATCTTCGGGCTCAACCGAAAAGACATGTTGCGCACAGCTCCCTTCAGGAAAGTCAACCTCGTCCTGCAACTCTAACATGTAGCTGTAGTAGCTAGTCGCATTGGAAAATGTCACAGAACGTGGGACTTGGCTGTGGGCTTTGGGAACCCAGTGGTAGTGAATCCTTGGCTTGTGTTGGGGTGCTTGCTGTCGGATGCCGGGGTTCAGTGGAGCCTTCTTGTAGTCTGAGTTGTCGACGAAGATCTGTTTGACAAAGTCAATGACTAGGTG